TGCTTCCTGCTCTAGCGCTTCGAGAATGGCCACTTCCGTCTCAAGTCCACCGGAGATGGCAGCCTTGCACTCGCCAGCCATGGGCGCATCTTCCGCGTGCAGCTCGGCCCTGATGAGGTGTACAATGCCAACATCAAGTACGCATGGGACGACCTTGTGCCGCCCTTTCCCCGGTGCCCGTCGGCGGGTCACATATGACTTACTGATGATGTGTCGCCACATGGTGCCTCACGGACTGCCCCACGCACCACCTTTGTGCCCTCCCGCTCCTGCAAAGGCACGTCGTCGCCTGGAGCACCAGCCTCACCCTGACGCCGGTGTTGGCCGACCTCATGGAGGATGGCACCGAGGAGGAGGCCATCGGCGCCGGTTCCGGGCCAATTCGCTCGGCCCCTGCTCTCAAGGAGAAGGGCATTGGCCGCGGCAAGTACTTCGACCGTGTTCGTCGGAACATTCGCAAGCGCATTCTCGGCGAAAAGGTGCGCGTCTGTCCCGGCTGCCGTGCTTCTGTCCGCCGGGCCGCGCCCCATTCCTTTGTTGGGCTAATTTTTCCAGCCTTCCCTGACCCTTTGTCGCCCCCCCCCCCGCCGCCCCCGGCCTTGACCCCGCGTCGGCAGGACTTCTATTCCATCCGCGGCCCGGGCGACGTGTACCTCACCTCGCGCCTTCCGCCGACTCTCCTGAACCTCGACGCGTGCGTCCCGACACGCCTCCTGCCCGTTCTTCCCTTTGCTCCTGCCTCTGCCGCTCTGACACCCGCCCCCGCTGCCCTGTTCCCGGCGGCCGGTCTCCCCGGATCCGCCAGCTTCAAGCGTACCTCCGCCCCTACCGCCGCCCAGGCCACCACCCTGTCCACCCCGACCATCGTCGACAATCCTCAGGCGGTGCCGGTCACCCAGCGGCGCTGATGGACAATGTGTGGGAGGTGAATCCGCGCACGGAAAATGTTCCCCCCCCCCCGCCCTCCTTGTTGCCGCTCCAAAGGCGGCAGATGCCCACGAATACACCACATACCAACTTTCACCTTTCTGAGCGCCTCGCGCGCGGGCCCGACCAGCACAGGGTCTGTACTCCCAAGCGTCGGCACCTCGACGTCCCCCCCCCAGGTCCCCCAGCCGGGGCCGGGGGGGGGCGGGAGGGCGTCCAGAGTGGGGGGCTGGCCGACCCTACACCGGCAGCCAGGTGTGCCATCAACCCGCGCCCGGTGCGAGCACTTCAGATCAGTCAGCACGCCAGGCGTGCTGGTGGTTTTCTCTACGGAGGGCTGGTCTGGTCGTGCACGCGCACATACGCACGCACACGGCCGTGTGCGTGGTGCTCTCGCGGCCGTGAATGTGCCAGGGCGGCTCTGTCTGCTGCCACCGCCTGGCTCTTTGCGTGTCTCCTAGAGACCTCTGCCCACCCGCGGCGAGTGCGAGTCGAGTCGTGGCCACCTCTGTCTGAGGGGTGTGTGGCAGGAGGAGGTCGCGGAGGGGGGCTTGGCAGGGGGGGGCGGGGGGACAACGGAGTGTGCTTTGTCTCTGGCTGGGTGCCCAAGCCCCTCGCACGGTGTGAAGACTCTCCGACACAGCCAGACCCATCTGCCCTGGGCCTCTGTCGCGTGTGCTGCCGAGAGCGGGCCCGGCGCTGGGCGGTGAGCGGGAGACTTTTGGCAGAGGACGCCGACCGAGATCAGTGCCCACGAAGGGCAGCTCGCCTCGGCCCAACCACGAAGGCCCTCCCCCGCCAGACACACCGCGCTCCCCTCTTCGCCTTCCCCCTTCCTCTCCCTGTCCCCTCGCCTTCCCTTGCCCTTTCTCCTTTCTCCTTCCACAAGCCGGGCCCGCTGGCGCCTCCCTCTCCCCTCTTCCCTCCCTCTCGCTCAGCACGCCCGCCGGCCGGTGTTGTGCATCGCCGCTGCGTTCCCGAGGCGACTGGATCCCCTCCTACCAGCTGACAGCGCCCGGTTCGTTCTTTTGTCCCCCCCCCCCCCCCCCTGGCGTCTTGCCATCGAGCCAGCGACAGGCATCCTTTCCCTTCCTTTTGTTCCGGCCCCCCCCCCCCCTCCCTCCTCACTCACGTCACCCGTCCCAGTTGAAGCAGGGCTGGGACGTCTCCGTCGCTAGCTCCACCGCACAGACCTCGGCATGTTGGCCCACCTCGCTCGGTCGAGTCGGACGCTCGTGCGCCACGGGCGTTTGCCCTCGGCCCCGGTGGTCGCCCGCCTGAGCCGACCGTTCGCCACGGCCACCGGGCGCCATGCCGACACCGCCGACTCGGTCTCGGCCGCGCCTCGGGCCTCCCGACGCAAGACCGCCTCCTCGTCGCCTCCCCCGACAGACCCCCTGTCGCTGGCCCTGCGCACTCTGGCCAACATTGATCCCCTCTTCTCGGTGGAGGACTCGCCCGCGCCCGCGCCCGCGCCCGATGCCGATGGCGGCGCACTGGCGGCCGCCTCCCCGGCCCCGGCCACCCCGCAGGGGGGCTACATTTCCGGCAGCGAGCTTGCCCAGATGCTGGCCGAGCTGCAGCATGGACCGGCTCCGAGCGCCACCTATGAGAGCCTGCTGCAGCATGCAGCGGCTGCGCATGACCCGAGTTTGGCCTGTTCCGTGCTGGAGCACTTTCACCTGTACCACGAGGAGGTGCCGGTGGCGATGATGCGCCCGGCGCTTGAGGCCCTTGCCGGCGGCCTGCCGCACTTTGACCAGGTGACCGAGCTGCTGGGGTCTCGCCAGCACCGGGCAACCATCCACCCGGAGCAGGCCTGGTCCTTTGCTTGGGACAGCACCTCGGCCCGGCACTATGACCGGGCTCACCAGTCGGAGATGACCGACCGACTGGCCGGCCTGCAAGCCCTGCGGTCGGCCGCCTCGTCGGCCATGCGGGCGGCCCAGGCCGACCCTGTGAATGGCCATCTGGCGGACGCCTCGCGCCAGGCCATGGACGCCTATCTGGAGGCGCATGTTGACGCGGGGTTGGCCACCTCGCCGCACATGCAGCTCCGGCTGGCGGCGCTGGACCATATGCGCCGACTCCTTCGGCGGGTGTCGGAGCTGGCGGCGGCCGCGCCGCCGGGCCAGCTGCCGGCCGACTTGGCTGGTCTGCTGCCGGGCGTCACGTCCAGCTTGATGGCGGTCCGTGATCCGCTGCTCCGGCGCAGCCTGGTGGCCGGGCTGCTGGGGGATTTGGACTTGTCGGTGGCTCCCCTGACCGGGCAGCCGGCCCTGGCGGCCCTGGTTCTGTCGCTGGTGGTGGAGCCGCAACAGCGGTCCCTGCAGCAGCAGGTCCGCCGCCAGTGCGAGGGGGAGCCCTGGCTCAAGTCCGACCCGGTGATGTTGGCCCTTCTTGGCCAGGCGGCCATGGCCTCCGGCGATGCCAGTGCCAGTGCGCGCTTTTTGTTGCGCGCGCCGGGGATCCTGCGTTCGTCGCTGGCCGGGCCGCTGGACCGCGGCCTGGCCCCGGACCAGCCCAAGCACCAGCGCCGATCGGCGTCCACCGTGCTGCAGGAGGTCCTGGCCCAGCCACTTGCCGAGCACAGCTCCAGCGGCCACCTTCGCAAGCAGGCCACCAGCAGTCTGACCGGCTTGGAAATGATGGACATCCTCGGGGACATTGTGCGGAATACCCTGGAAATTGGGGCCAATCTGCCGATGGATCGGTCTGTCGGTGCCCGGCCGGCCGTCCTGCAGAAGGTCCACGACCGTCTGTTCAGCACCATGGACGCCCTGGCCGAGACTTTCCGGGCCCTGCCGGCCGACTGCCTGCCGGGCCTGGTGCGCATTTGCCGGCATGACCTTGGCCATATGGCCCAAATGGTGGCCGCCACGTCGGAACAGACCCCGGAGACGGATCTCCATCAGTTGATGTCCGGGACAACGTACCAGCTGATGGTCAACTTGACACAGGCCTTCCTGGCCGAGGGCCGGCGTTCCGGGGTGACTTTCGGCCGGAGGGCCGACGGCCAGCTCCGATCGCTGAGCCTGGCCCCTTGGCCGGCGGCCGGTGGCCGGGACTTGCCCTGGCTACGGGCCGCCCTGACGGACATTCCCCAGCGCTCGGAGCTGGGCCGTGAGCTGGCCCACTTTTGGCGCCAGGTGTACACCCTGTCCATGAATCGCCTCCGTGCGGAGACCGATCCGGCCTTGACGCTGGAGAGCCGCGGTCAGCTGGTGGAGGGGAACTTTTCCGGCTCCCTGCACGGGACATTGGCCCATGCACAGCAGGCTCGCGGTTTCCTGCAGGACCTGCTGACCTTCTCGCATGCGGCCCTCACTGGCCAGAGTGTGGATCCCTTCCTGGCTTTGTTGGATGGCACCTCGCCGACCGAGGACCTGGCGGCCATTTCCCTGGAGGCCCTCTGGTCGAGTGGCCCCACCGGTTCCCTGGTGGCTGATGGCCATTCCGATGCCAAGGTCCGCGCCCTGATGCTGGCCGAATCGCTGGACAACCGGCGTCCGGCGGCCGTGGCCTCGACCTCCAGCAATGCCGACCTGTCGCCGCTGGCACGCTCGGTTCTGGCCGAGGCCCGGGCCCGGTCGTTGCTGCTGGTGGACACGGCCCCGGCGGCCGCGGTGACCACCTTCGGTGGGTATGAGCTGTCATTGGCGGCGCTCGCGGCCAATGGCCACTCCGGAGATGTTGCCCCCAATTGGGGGGACGTCATGCAGCCGGATCTCTTGACCATCACCCCGGCCAGTGGGGATCTGCGGGATCTCCTGGCCGAGCAGGCTTCGGTCGCGCATCGGGGCCCTCAGCACCAGCAGTCCCCGGAGTCCCTGGCCCTGGAGCAGGGTGGCCTGCCGCTGACGGCCAGCGATTTGCTGGAGGCCGCGCGCATTGACCAGCTCTTCGACCGGTATCGGCCGACGCTGCATGAGCTCCAGGTGCAGGCCGAGCGTGCTGGGCAGGCTGCCAGCCAGGCCACCGCCGCCCTGGACCTGCTCACGCGCACGGCCGCCTCCACCGGGGCCATTCCCTCGGAGGAGCTGGTCATCCTGGCCTTGGAGTCGGCCACCCTGCCGGCTCCGCTGGTGGACTATGCCTCGGCCTGCTTGGAGACCTTTGCCCCGCGGCAGACGACCCTTGTGCCGAATGTCACCCTGACGCCGGCCCCCTTCGAGCCGGGGGCCCGGGACCCGGTGCACTTCGATTCGCCGGCCCTGACGCGCACCCTGGCCCTGGCCTTGCATGAGGCACGCACCGGGCGTCGGGCCGTGCACCAGGCCGTGGCCGGCATCATGAAGCAGCATCTGGCCGCCGGGCAGACCCCCTCGCCGGCGGTGGTGGCCGCCGCCGTGCGTGCCTACTGCCAGGCCGCCTCGCCGGTGAGTGCCATGCACCTGCTGCGCATGCATGCCTTGACCCCGGACTTCCTGACGGTCGAGGCCTTGGGCCCGGTGCTGGGGGCCTTCCGGGACCTGCTCGGGGCCTATGGTCGGACCAATGACTCGTCGGCGGTGGGGGCCAATCGGGCGCTCAATTTGCTCGGGGGCTACTTGGATGCCAGTGGTTTGGGCCGGCTGGCGGCCCATTCCTTCGCTCGGTCGATGGTCGACCCGGCCACCGGATCGGACGCCTCCGGCCCGGCCCGGCAGCTGACCAACACCCTGGTCGCTCGGGCACGCTATGACCGGCGGTATGCCGGGATCATGGAGCATCAAGCGCGCTTGCGCCAACAGATGGCCTCGGCCGGCCACCATGATGCAGATCCCATGTCGCCGGAGGACATGGCCGCGGGCATGGCGCTGCCGCCGCCCCTGCGGCCGTTGGCCGCCGCCGCCGGTAGCCTCCATCATCGGGCTCTGCTGACGGAGGTCCTGGCCGGGGCGGTTCGCCTGCTGGCCAAGTACGACTACCCGGTGGTGGGAGCGCTGGCGGCCCAGGCCACCAGCCTCGGCCAGGGGATCTCCCTGCCGGGGGTGCCCCTTCCCCTGTACATGACTCGACGCCAGCAGCGGGCCTTGCTCTTTTCCCAGCGCATGCACCAGGCTGCTGGTGACCGGCTGTTTGAGAAGCTCCGTCAGGCGGACAATTTCGCCAGCCGGAACTTGGAGTCGCCGGGGGTCGAGGCGCTGGAGTCCCTGGTGGCCATGTCCTCGGACCAGTTGACCGCCGCCTCCAACACCCCGAAGGATGCCGGCTCTCCCTCGCTGCTGTCCAGCGGCGGTGGCGGCGGCGGCGGCGGCGGCGGCGGCGGCAGTGCCCGGCACCAGTTGGACGCATCGGTGGTGCCGTTTGCCGATCGATCCATGTGGACGGCGGATGTGAATCACGCCGATGGCGGCCCATCCCGGATTTCGGCCCAGGGTCGCCGGCGGGCGATCTTCCTCCGCCACCTGGTGCCCGACCTGCCAGAGGCGCAGCCTGCCCCGGTTCCGAGCTTCGGCTGGGAGGACGGGGCACTCGGTGCCAGTGAGCCGGCCCCGCGCCGGAGCTTGGATGCGGTGATTCAATCGCCCGCCTTCGAGGCGCTGGTGTCCGGGACCGAGGCCAATTTGCCGACTCGGCGCCCGGTGCTCTTCCGCGACCTGGGCCACGACTCGCCAGTGCCACCGGAGGCGGTCATCCTGCGGGAAATGACCACCGCCTTCCGGCCACCGCTGTCTCCCCGCCGGGGGGTGATCTCGTCGTCGGGGTCTTCCACGTCCGAGGTGTACTCCCTGCCGGATCGGCGGGCCCCGCTGCCCGGGCGTCTGCACACGGACCTGCTGCTGGTGGCCGGGCAGCTGCTGCTCCCGCAAGCCGGAACCCAGGGCGACCTGTACACGCACCTGATGCACGGCCTGCTTGATGGGCACCGGTGTGAGGAGGCCCTGGATCTGCTGAGCTGGGCATTGGACACGCGCCTGCCGCTGCCGGATGACCTGCTGGCGCGGTTCTTCCGGCCGGTGCTCGTCAACCCGTACCAGATGTCCGGGGCTCGGACTTCAAACCTGCTGGCGGTGCAGACGCTGCACGTGCTGGAGCGCCTCGGTGCCGGGGGCATGCGTCGCCTGTTGGATGCTTCGCCGCAAGCGCGGCAGGCTCTCTTCGATAGCCTGGTGCAGACCCCGCTCTTCGATGTGAGCCTGGCCCTGGTGCAGGGGTGGGCCGCGGCCGGCCACGCTGGAGCCGGCGATTCTGCCACCTCCGCCGGTGCTGGCGGGGACATCCCGCTGGCGGCCGCCGGGCTGACTGGCCCAGGGCGGGAATTTGCCCGGCTGCTCCTGCCGGATGCCGCGCTGGCTAGTCCGCCGTCGGCCGAGGCGGCCCTGATGCGGGCCGCTCGTGCCGGGGACCCGGAGGCAGCTCGGCAGCTCCCGGTTCCGGATGCCTTCCGGACGCACATCACCCCGATCATGTTGCACCGGCTGATTGAGGGGGTGGTGCACGAGTCGCCGGAGGCCCTGCCCGCGGTGTGGGCCTTGGTGCGGGCGTCGCGCTACCTGGAGCACTCCCTCATGCCAGCCAGCACCATTGTCCTGCTGAACAAGCGTTTCCCGGGGCTGATGAAGCGCGACTTCCCGGACCTGCATGCCGACCGGAGGTACGCCCCGAGCCCGGCTGCCGGGGTCATCACGGACTTCTTCAATAAGCGCCTGCGCAAGTCGCCGGCCTCCTCCAAGTGAGTGGTCTGCGCTGCTGCAGTGGCCGTCGTCGCCGTCGTGGCTGTCGTGGTCGTCGTGGCCAGCGTTGCCATGGCCGCCCCCGCCGTCTTGCTTTTTTCCTCCCTCCTTTGCGTGATTCCCGCTGTGATTTCTCCTTCTCCTCATCCGCCACCACTGCTGCCGGCCTTGCTCTGCCCTCCGAGTGTGCATGCCTTGTGTCCGGTGGTGCTCGTGCGCGCGCGCACACACACAAATGAGTATATACATACACGGATGACGCCCTTGCTGTGGCGGCACGCCGCCACCGTCCGCTCTCCTCCTCCTCCTTCCATTCTTTTCCTCTCCCTTCCGTAACAATAGACAGACTCAGTTGCCCTGGGGGAAACAAATCTGCCTGTGCATGTGAGAGGTGCCCCCACCGAGGGAAGAGGGGCCAGCCGCAAGGGACACAGGTCCCATGCCCAACGCATGGACACAGCATTCCCGAGCGCGAAATGCGCGGGTGTGGAAGGGTGTTTCCGCTTGATAACTAGGTGTTTGTTTTTATTATACAGGAAGGGGGGGGGGAAGGGGGGAAGGGGGGAAGAAAAAGAAAACAACACGTCTTTTCTTTGAAGCTTTTTTGTCTTTCGCAGCGGGAGCACGTCCATACACGCCAGTGATCTGACCTCTCGCAAGCACGTGCACGCTTTCGCACGTATGCACGCACAGCGTGTGTGCGCACCTAGGAGCGGGGCTCCATGTTCCGGACAATGTCCAGGAGCTTGTCCTGGTCGTCGGGAGTCATGCTCCGGAAGCGGGACCGCTCGTCGGGGCTCATGGTGGAGAAGATCTTTTCCGCCTGGACCACCTTGTACGCGTATCCCTGATCCAGGAGGTACTGCTGGCGCTTGGAGGCATGCGTCACATCATCAGTGCCGTCGGCAATCAGCGTGTAGAAGAAGGCATTGAAGCCCTCGTCATTGCGGTTCTTGGCCCGGAGGATGCGTCCCAGTCGCTGGGCCTCCTGTCGACGAGAGCCGGACGGGGCCGACACCTCGATCAGGCAGCTGGCCTCCGGGATGTCCAGCGATGTGTCACCAATTTGACTGAGGAACAGCACTCGACGATTCTCATCCTCGCGGAAGAGCTGGAGATTGCGCTCGCGCTCGGCCAGCTGCGTCTTGCCCTGGATGACCAGCGCCTGGAAGTGCTCGGCGTAGCGCTCCAGCGGCTCAATGCGGTCCACGAAGACGGTGGTCTTCTTGTCGTGGTGTCGCAGCAGCAGCGCCTGGAGAACCAGCAACTTGACCGGGTTCAACATCAGCAAGTTGGTGCGAATGTTGAGGGGCTGGCCCTCGCGGCTGTACTCGCGCCAGAAGGCCGGCGTCAGGGGACACCGGACCTCCGCGCAAATGACTCGCGCAATGTGGCCCTGCCGCGAGAGAACCATCCAGTTGGCCTCGTAAAGTTTTGGGCCGACCTGCTGCAGAATCTCGTCGATCTTGCCATCCTCACGCACTAGGGTGGCCGTGAGGCCGAGCTTACAGTGCGTGGGGATTCGAGCCACAGCCGGAGCATACGCTGGAGCCGACAGGAGCCAGAGGGGTGGGCGGAGGTGGGAGAAGGGCAGGGGGGCGGGTGTGAGGGAGGTGAGTATCGGTGCCCTCTTTCGGGGAGGGTGGTGTTGGGCGACGGGAAATGCCAGCAGGGGGGGGGGGGGGGGGGGGGGGCAGATGGCGGGAACGCACAGTCGGCCGGAACAGAGTGCACCTCATCCAAAATGACGAGGCCCCACTCAACGCGCTCGATCCAGGACATGACGCGTGACTTGACATTTGTGATGGTCTGATAGGTGGTGATGAAAATAAGGCTCGGGTGCTTCAAGTCCTCAAGCTTCGAGGGAGCAGCCCATCAGAGATGACAGCGAGAGAAAAAAAGGCGAGAAGATGATGTGAGTGGGCATGGACCAATCACAGAGAAATGTCGGGGAAGCCATGCGCGCGTGAGAGTGCGTGTGCATGTAGAGAGAGAGAAGGATAGAAAGAGAGGGAGGGAAAGAGGGAGGGCAAGCGCGACGCACCCGTGAGCCACCGCGATAGGTGATAATCGGCGCTGGGGCGTCCTCCCCGGCGATGATGTGAGGCTTGATGTGCGCCCACTTGGAGAACTCCCCATGCCACTGGTTGGCCGAGAGAGTGGAGTTAACCAGGACCAGGGTGTTTTTCTTGATCGTGGAGGCGGCCGCCACACCGACGAGGGTCTTGCCGGCACCACAAGGCAGAACGATAATGCCAGACCGAGCGCGCCTACAGAGAGGGGCAGCGGGATCGGCGGCGGCGGCGGCGGCGGCGACAAGTGCAGTTACGTCATTCCCATTCCCCAGAGCGCAGTGGACAATTGTGAGCAATCGGGCCGAGAGGACATCATGCGTTCGGGCCGCGGACCAAAGGAGCGAGAGAAAGGAAGGAAGACAGCAACCGAGACAGAGGGAACCGGGCGTGGGCAAAGGACAACGCACTCGCGAGAGAACATCTTACTCAGACACTGCTGCTGGTAGTCCCGGACGATGGTGGTCTGCTTGAGGTCGATATCCAGCGTGGGGGAGTCGGTATCCGCGCGGAAGGCATACTCCTCGAAGACCGGGAAGTTCAGCGAGTCACACAGCTGCTTGATCTTTTGGATGCGCGTGCGCGAGCCGGCCACCGCGGCGGCCGACCCGCCACCCTGAATCGGCATCGACACGGAATCCGAGTCGAAGATGTTCGGCCGCTCCAGGTGCATCGGATGCAAGATCTCGAACATGTAGAGGCGCCCGCGGCGGCGACGGCTACGCCGAAGCGTGGACTTGCCGGACTGCGCGACATCGTCGTCCTCGTCATCATCCTCGTCCCCATCGGACCCGGCGCCATCAGACCCATCCTCATCGTCATCGGGGTTGTCGCCCCCAGGCCCGGAGGAGGCGGCCCGGTCGTCCTTCTTGACGATCGCCTCGGAGTTGGCACCCACGGCCATGGGTTCCGGCTTGATGGCGGCATTGTCACCGAAGGTGTCACCCCCGGGGCCGCGCACTGGCAGCAGGAACCCGGCCACGGGCGGGGCCGTGGTCGCCTCGCGGGCCAGACGCAAAGCCTCGTCCACGTCTTTCGGATTCACCTGGCGCACAAGCTGCTGCAGGTGCGGGTCGCTGCAAATGCGCTGGCTGATGCTCTGGTCGTAGGTCTCCAGGTACCAGCGGAACTCCCGCTTCGGCGGGCCGTCATTCGACTCGAAGGCAGATGCCGGACCGCCGAGCAGTCCCAGCGGCGCGAAAGTGGTCACCGAGGACCCGCCAGCCGACGCGGATGTCGACAGACCGTCATGTGTCTGCAAGCGGATGGTCGGCGCCTTGGTCGCCTCCATCGGGAAGCCGCGCATCACCAGGCGCACCTTGCCATAAGTCGACATGTACTGCTTGATGATCTCGATGGCACGCTCCGGCACCGGGACCTTGGAGAAGCGCTGCAGCGTGTCAATAATGTTGTTGGGCTCCAGGCCGACCGATGCCGCGGAGTAGAGCGACATCTTGGTCAGCTTGTATTCGTGCACTAGG